TTACACTATATAATATGTCGTGCATTTTACCCAGGGGCGGAGGAGAAGGGGGCATGCCGGGGCACGTGCCCCCCGGCGAAGTGCCGGCAAAGAGTTTCTATTTACCGGTGTCGGTAATTGTTAGCACTGACAACAGTGAGGGTGCCCACCTGAGTGCGGCGGCCCTAGATGAAGTTGAAGCTTTGTTATTCTTTCCAGCAAATATGGTTTATTTCATTTTGTAAAACGACACCGTTTAGATTTTAAATTAAAGATTGATTTTAATTGGTTTCCTCAGTTCTCTCTGGTCATCTTAGATCCCATTCGGCCTTCAAGGGTGCAGCATCCAACAATTATTTAAACTTATAAAGTATTTTTGTATTTGTTGATTTTTTGTTCAAGGATGATAAATTCATACTCTCCGTTTTAATTGAGAATTTATATTTTTTATTTTTGTAGCCTATAGATATTACTATTTCTGTCCCAGTATATTTGTCTAGTTTGACTTTTTCGAGTTAAACTGGACAAATTTTGAGCTCCAATTACTCTCAATTTTTATTGCATGTTAGTATAATAAAATTCAGTTCTAAAATTTCCCAATACAATAAATTTAATAATGTCAGTTTTATGTTAGAATACATTACCGTTTTTATTTAATTGAAGCTCAAGGTTTATCCAGTTTGACTTAAAAAATTCAAATTGGACAAATATATTAGAACAGAGGAAGTATTATTACGCGTATTTATTAAATTGCAAATGATCTTTTTTTTTCAATTAAAGTGTGATTTGCTAAGATTTAAAAAAATTGAACAAATAATTTGCTAAAAATTTACATATTGTATAATTGATAATAGTGTCATTTTAATGTTATATTTGGAATTAATTGAGATAAAAATTATTTTTTTGTTATTCAATCATGTCTTTTAAAAATTTTTTTAGGAGCGCTACTCCCGAACCCTATGTAGTGTTCCCCCTCGATAGCTAGCTGCTAGCTCCGCCACTGATTTTACCCGTGCCGTGCATGTGGTGTAATAAAACTCTTTTTCGATTTTGTAGTTTTTTCCACTATATAATATCTAGGGATTAACTATATATATATATATATATATATATATATATATATATATATATATATATATATATATATATATATATATATATATATATATATATATATATATATATATGGGATTGACTACAGTGAGATAACACCTTACGGTGAGATGACATGCTACGGTCAGATGATGCAAATCCGCCGCCGGTCGCCGGAATCCGCTGCTGCTCCACCGCATGGCACCGCCGCTGACCGGTGG